TTGTAGTCCAAACGAGTCGTTTGTTGTAGTTTTTGAAAAGTGATTTCTGTTAAATAAAATATCTCCTTTTGAAGTGGACTTTGAGCTTTTTAACTTTGCAGATCTTTTTTATGCTCAAACAGCAACATTACAGACTAACTAAAGTTGAAAAAGTGAAAAAGCATAATAGGACCCCTTTAAACACATTCATTTGAACCTGTACGTCATCTTTTACAATGCAGTTGCTGACGAACATTATGCAGGACGACGACGTTACAATGCAGTTAAATGCCCCTAAAATTCAAGATATGAAGGCAAAAATGCCTCATATGGGTTATTGTCTTATATTTATATCATATGATATAGTCTGGCAAGCAAGAGTGCTATTTTTCCCGAATATCTGCACGATTGCAAATGTGATATTGATTACATGCAACAGTAAATAAACAAGAAGTTAATGTTGTCTTATAGTTTAAACACAATATTGTCAATATTGTGTGTTTTTGCTCAATTTCGCTAACTAAAATAGTTCCAAAATCCAATCTAAGTCACAGCAGAATTGACCCTTCGCCGGGAGTTTGATTGACAGGCGATCGGACCAATCAAAACGCAGAATCTGTCATTGTCCGACAAACAAACCAGACAGGAGAGTGGATTAACGTCAGCGGACTTGAACTTGAAAAATCCAGATTCTGCGTTTTCGAACGATTCGTGTGAGTCAATGATTCAGTGACTCATACATAAAGACAGTTCACTTGCTTCATTTCTAAATGAATCCACCGTCTGAACGAATCGGTTGAATGAATAACTGAATAACTCATTAAGGCAGTGACTTGCCGCCACCTACTGGTGGTTTTAGTTTCAAATTTAGTTTCTCATTTTCATTTAGTTTAACTTGATGTACTAAATTAACTAAAACTGAAATAAAAATGAATAAAAACCATATAGATGTATAAAAAAAACTTTTAAATATATACAAATATTATTATTACAGATATTATTTTTATTCCTAAAAACAGTCACTTGCTTCATTTCTGAACGAATCATCCGTTTGAATGAATCAGTTGGATGAATGATTCAATGACTCACTCATTAAGACAATGACTTGCTGCCACCGGCGGTTTGTTTCGTAGAGTATCATTTATTTATTTTTTTTTTTTCGTATTTTATATTTTAATATTCAATTTTTTTAAAAACCCATTAATGCCTATTTAAAACCAAATAATTTTAATTATGCAATTCTAATTCATGCTTCCTCTGAAAACAACGTTATTGTAGCCTTAAAAGTTTTTGTGTGGCCTAATAAATTCTATGCTGAATCAATATATTTCTTTTTAGAAATGTCTATTCAATGCTTTTCTCATTTAACACAATAATGACTTTAAATGATCTTTTGGGGGGTCATTTTTCAGCCCAAATTGATGTGCAATTAATTTGCGATTAATTAATCGGTACTTCAGGTAATTAATTAAATTAAACATTTTCAATCGCTTGACAGCCCTAGTTTAAAGATATGTATTTAATAACGCTGAAGCAGATTTTCTCTCACCTCTTTCCATGTGCGTGTGCAGCTGGCCTTTCGCGCGCTGTCAACAGCCGCCTGAAACTCGCCGAGGTGAACGAGTGTGGACGCCAGACGAGCAAAATTAGACACGTTATTAAACAGCAGCCGGGCCGCTTCAAACATACCCTCTTCATAACATCTCTCGCCAGCCTACAGAGAGACACACGTTACTGGACACACTGAAAATAATACTACGTGTGCACACTAATGTTGAGCAACAAGACACAATAGTGATAGATGGTGAAAAGACTCTTTCAGACAGTCTTTCTTTAAGACAGTCAAAAATGGCCAAATATTATTACTTTAATAATTTTAAATATATTATTGTTTTTTGATTAAATACATTAGAATATTATATATTGCTATTATAATATATATTACTATTGATATAAAATGTATGCATCTATGCACACACACACACATATATATAATTGCATTATATAATTACTTAATATATAATTTTTTTGATTATATATAAAATTGAATAAAATTAATATAACATTATATACTATTATGATTAAACACAAATAAATTATCATTCATATGATTATTACACTATTAAATATATTATGATTAATATCACATTTAATATATTATGTTTAATATATTATGATCAATTCTATTACAATTACTGCATTTCATTACACACGGTCAAACATAATAATATGTAATGTAATAAATGTAATATTAGATATATCTGTAGTAACATTAAATATGTTATTTAGCAATTATAATTCTTAAATGCATTATGATTAATATTACATTTAATATATTATAAACTTAATTATTAATCATTATATATTTAATTATAATTATTAGATAACTGATATAATTACTATTACTACAGATATATCTAATATTATATCAACAAGACACAATAGTGATAGATGGTGAAAAGACTCTTTCAGACAGTCTTTCTTTAAGACAGTCAAAAATGGCCAAATATTATTACTTTAATAATTTTAAATATATTATTGTTTTTTGATTAAATACATTAGAATATTCTATATTGCTATTATAATATATATTACTATTGATATAAAATGTATGCGTCTATGCACACACACACACATATATATAATTGCATTATATAATTACTTAATATATAATTTTTTTGATTATATATAAAATTGAATAAAATTAATATAACATTATATACTATTATGATTAAACACAAATAAATTATCATTCATATGATTATTACACTATTAAATATATTATGATTAATATCACATTTAATATATTATGTTTAATATATTATGATCAATTCTATTACAATTACTGCATTTCATTACACACGGTCAAACATAATAATATGTAATGTAATAAATGTAATATTAGATATATCTGTAGTAACATTAAATATGTTATTTAGCAATTATAATTCTTAAATGCATTATGATTAATATTACATTTAATATATTATAAACTTAATTATTAATCATTATATATTTAATTATAATTATTAGATAACTGATATAATTACTATTACTACAGATATATCTAATATTATATTATTACTCAAGATATTATTACTTTTAACCAAGTGTAATCCAATATGATAAAATATGATATTTTAATAGAATGTTATAGGCTAGAAAAGCTCATTTAAAATGAGCACTTTTGGTTTTGAGAACTTTTATTTGGGTGCATCAGAGTTTGCATGTGTTTAAATCTCCGAACCTGCTGTATGTGAGCGTTGTTGGGGCCGTTGATGAAGTCCTCCAGCTCGCTCAGACGGTTTGTTTTAGCCAGAGCAAAGATGAGCTCCGTCTCAACGTACGACTCTCTGGCTTTCTTTCTCGCCATTTGAAGAAACTTCACCAGATCCTCCCAGTTCTCTATGAAAACAGACCATTTTGCCATTTTGAAACAAGAGAGTTTGATGTACTTAGTAACAAACTGTTTCATTCACAACTCAAAATATCCTCCCTAGTCATGAAATCTATATTTGGACTGTATTTAGTGTAAGAAAACTTGACTAACATTATACATGGACATACAAGATAGTAGAAAATTACAGCATCACTACAATGACACATTGATTTCTAAAAGCACCATAAAACTCAGATTTACAGTCAGTCCATGGGTGCAAACTAACATCTTATGTAAGTTTCAGGACAGTTTTAGGGCATTTTAAAAGATAATTCAAACGAACAGCATTCATTTGAAATATAATTTTTGTAACATTATACATCAATCAATTTAATGCTGAATAAAAATATAAATTTCTTTCAAAAAGTAATTTTTTTTTTATAAAAGATTTACAGTCAGTCCATGGGTGCAAACTAACATCTTATGTAAGTTTCAGGACAGTTTTAGGGCATTTTAAAAGATAATTCAAACGAACAGCATTCATTTGAAATATAATTTTTGTAACATTATACATCAATCAATTTAATGCTGAATAAAAATATAAATTTCTTTCAAAAAGTAAAAACTTACTGACCTCAAACATTTGCGGTAGTTTATATTTGCGCTGAAGTGGCTTTAACCTATTTATTTTAATTGAAATTTTATATATAGTATATTTTAAATATTTAATGCAACAAGTAAAACAATATATCTTGCTAAAATAATCAAGGCATTGTTTTTCATTTGTGATCGAATATTTATGATACACTGAATATTTATGAATGTATTTATAAATATAATATATAAAATATTATTTTATTGGTGACATATAATTTTTTTAATATCTTGAAATACTCTGATATTTCTAATACTGGCAAATAAAAGGCACATTAGAATCATGACACTAGTTCAAAACTCTTACTAAATATATTTATAATACACATCAGTTTACTACACAAGGACATTTTACTCTATTTTATATATAGCAGATTTAGTTTAATGCAATAAGTAAAACAATATACACTACCAGTCAAGATTTTTAATGTTTAATGTTTAAAGATTTAAGCTCTTCTGCTCACCAAGCCTGCATTTATTTGATCAGAAATCCAGCAAAAGCAGTAATATTGTGAAATATTTTTACTATTTAAAATAACTGCTTTCTATTAGAATATTTTGTAAAATATATAATTTATTTCTGTGATCAAAGCTGAATTTTCAGCATCATTACTCCAGTCTTCAGTGTCACATGATCTTCAGAACATTGTTCTTCTGAACTTTCTGTTCATCAAAGAAACCTGAAAAAATTCTACTCAACTGTTTTCAACATAATAATAATAATATTTTTTTTGTTTTGAGCAGCAAATCAGCATATATCAGAAGGATTTCTAAAGGATAATGTGACACTGAAGACGAGTAATGATGCTGAAAATACAGCTGCGCATCACAGAAATAAATTACATTTTACTATATATTCACATAGAAAGCAGTTATTTTAAATAGTAAAAATATTTCACAATATTACTGCTTTTGCTGTATTTCTGATCAAATAAATGCAGGCTTGATGAGCAGAAGAGAATTCTTTAAAAAACATTAAAAATCTTACTGTTCAAAAACATTTGACTGGTAGAGTATATCTTGTTATCAAAATGATCTAGGCATTGCTATTTTCTGAATGTATTTATACTACATCAGTTTCAGGATGTTTGAGGACAGTTCATCTCACCGTTTCTGCTGGCAGCATCCACCACCTCCATGTACGCCGACGGCTCTCCAGCTCTGATGTAGGAGTCGATGGCCTCTTTGACCAGACCGGACTGAAGCTGAGCCTGAGTCAGCTGACTCCAGACCAAGCCCTCGGCACAGCACTCCGCAAACTCATACGCCCGCTCCAGATTCCCCATGTGCTCGATCAGAACCTGCGCGGGACAGAGCTTGAGTCCAGACGCTCGCGTGATCGTGTGCAGCGCTGGGGACAGTTACTTTTAAAAGTAATGCATTACAATATTGCGTTACTCCATAAAAAAGTAACTAATTACATTACTTAGTTACTTTTTATGGAAAGTAATGCGTTACGTTACTTTTGCGTTTCATTTTTAATCTGGACAGGACTTGCTTGTTTGTTTTTAAAATAAAAAAGTTCTATTTTTGGCAAATATAAAAGCCTTTTCACACCAAAAGTGAAATGATTAAGCCTCAGGCTGAAGGGAAAGTAAATTTATGTCCGTACAGTAGAATGCAAAAGAAGAAATTTCAAAACACTTCAGCAATAAAAAAAGACACAAATGTTTGTCTAGAGTAATTTGTGATTATTACATCAATCAATAAATTGGAAAAAAAAAAGTAACTTTTTAAAAAAAGTAAAAAAATAAAAAAGTAACTCAGATATTCTCTTTTAAATTAAAAAGTAATGCATTACTTTACTAGTTACTTGAAAAAAAGTAATCCCACATACAGTCAATACATAATCTACATCAACATGCAGTAAATTAGATCGCTCCCATTATAATCAACTTCCAGCTTTTATCCAAAACTACTTACAGTTACCACAAAGTGAATAATCTTATTTCAATCAAATAAAATACAAATATGATATAACTAGATCACTCCCATTATAAATCAACAATATATTTAAGTTTATTCATTTAGCAGATGTTTTTATCCAAAGCTGCTTACAAATGAGCAAAAAAAACTAAGCGATTAATCTTAACTGAACACATAACATAACATAACATAACATAACATAATGTTACATAATTTACATTCATTCATTTAGCAGATGTTTTTACTCAAAGCTACGCACAATAAAATGAGATATACAACAAAGCAATCAATCTTAATTAAATGTAATGTAATATAATAAAAATATTTTATAATATAATACAATACTTTCATTCAAAACTACTTACAACTGAGAAATACAACAAAGAGATTAATCTTAATTCAATATAATAATATAATCAAATATATAATATAAAACGTTGTAATGTAATATAATATATTTACATTTATTAATTTAGCAGATGCTTTATGCAAAGCTAATTTACTACAGTGATTAATCTCAATAAAATAAAATTACATTAAATTAAATTCAATATAAAACATTGTGATGTAAAATATTTACTTTTTATTATATTAAAATTTTTCACATATTCACATATTTAAATTTTCATTTAGTATATGCTTATTAATGCTTAATAAAAAATGAGGAATATAACAAAACAATCAATCTTAATTCAATATAATATAATATAATATAATATAACGGTAATAAATTTAGATTTATTCATTAAGCAGATGATTTTTTTCAAAACTCCTTACAACTAAGGAATGCAACAAAGAAATTAATCTTCATTCAATATAACATAATAAAATATAATATAAAACACTGTAATATATTTTATACATTTATTCAAAGGTTCTTAAAAATTAGGACTACAACAAAGAAATTAATCTTAATTCAATATAATATGATATGATATATGACATAATATAATTTAACACGAATAATTACAATCTACTTTCAATGCTCCACACAGCTACTCTCCAACCACTTAATTTTCTGTCAGTCAAAAAGAATACTTTATTTACACAATATGTGAGAGTTTTGCAATGCATTTTATTCATTATGCATTTCATTTTGGCCATTACATCAGATTCCAGCTCGTGATATTTGTGACACTGGAGCACAAAAGCAGTCTTAAGTCGCTGGGGTATATTTGTAGCAATAGCCAAAAATACATTGTATGGGTCAAAATGATCGATTTTTCTTTTATGCCAAAAATCATTAGGATATTAAGTAAAGATCATGTTCCATGAAGATATTTTGTAAATGTCCTACTGTAAATATATCAAAACTTAATTTTTGATTAGTAATATGCATTGCTAAGAACTTAATTTGGACAACTTTAAAGATGATTTTCTCAATATTTAGATTTTTTTGCACCCTCAGATTCCAGATTTTCAAATATTGTCCTGTCCTAACAAACCATACACCAATGGAAAGCTTATTTATTAAAATTGACCCTTATGACTGGTTTTGTTGTCCAGGGTCACATACGAATTTGAGCTCAAGCGGTGTGACACGAGTCTCTCAGACTGACCTGTGTTCACTGAATATGGAGTTCTCCAGAACGATCTTCTCCAGAAGTTCAATGAGTTCATTGGGCAGATCGGCCGTCATAAACGCCTTCTAATTTGAGCGTGGTATGACACGAGTCTCTCAGACTGACCTGTGTTCACTGAATATGGAGTTCTCCACAACGATCTTCTCCAGAAGTTCAATGAGTTCATTGGGCAGATCGGCCGTCATAAACGCCTTCACCGTCACAGACACTTCGTCTGGATCCTGCGTCTCCGGCAGAGCCGTCTGAACCACCTGTGCACACAACCCTTATCATTCATATACTCAATAATCACACACTTTTGTAGATATTTCAGGTGTGACTCGTGCCTGATCTATCAGCGGCCGTCTGTAGGGGTTCGTCTCCTGCAGAACTCGAGCCCAAAGATCGGGATCTTTTCGTCGCACCAGATACCGCGACTGGCTTTTAAACAGGGAGTTTTCACTGCACACCTACAGGAGGACAGAAAAACACAGATTCCAGCAAATCAGCATATTAGAATGATTTCTGAAGATCATGTGACACTGAAGACTGGAGTAATGATGCTGAAAATACAGCTTTGATCACAGAAATAAATTACACTTTACTATATACTGACATAGAAAATACTTTTTTTAAATTGTAAAACTTTTTCATAATATTACTGATTTTACTGTATTTTTAATCAAATAAATGCAGCCGTGGAGAGCAGAAGACACCTGTATGAGCTCCAGGTCACACTGTCCTCTCTCATAGGCCACAAAGGCGAGGTGAGGGTCTCTCTTCTCGCAGTATCGGCCCACGGTCGCGCTGTCGTAGTGCAGGTTTTCTCGGAGGAAGCACTCAGGACTGTTGTTACTGTCTATGTAGATCTTTGCCAATGCATTGTGGGTAGCAGGTTCTTCACAGCCCTCCTGAACACGAGATTCCAGCCAAGACAAGAGCAGCTTCAGTCTGGAGAAAATTAGGAGAGAGACACTGATGGAGCTATCAGCTAACACAAATATGTGTGAGGAATGGGTAATACAGATATTAAACTATGTTATCTCAACAAAAATATTTCATATATATATATGTGTAATAGCGCCCCCGAGTGTATAACAGTGAAAACATGAAAAGCCGTAAAAACTCGTCTTTGGCGGGGAAAGAAGTTAAGGGAGTTTGCAAATGTGATATTGATTTAATACAGCAGTTGACGTGTTTTGATACCGGTTTCTTTTCTCCACTTCCTCCACCAGCTGGTCAGTGCTGAAATCTCCTCGTACGGCGAGGATCAGACTCTTGATGGTGTCCTCGGAGCAGTCGACATCCAGCAGACCCCCGACCACCACCGGCAGCCGGCTGGGATTGACCTGCAGCAGTGCAAACACACATGTGTGAACTCTCCAGATCAGCAGCGTGTGCTTCTCGTGTACAGGGCTTTCAGCGTACCTTCTGTACGTAGATCTCGATGTATTTCTGCAGGCTGTTGCGGTACAGGTAGAGCACGAGATCGTGGACGAAATCGAAGCGGTCGCACACGATGATGAGAGGAAGCTGATCTGTGAGTTTGGCTTCCTGTGCAACGACACAAATACAAACATAAATGTGTCCCTGGAGCACAAAAGCAGTGTTAAGTCGCTGGGGTATATTTGTAGCAATAGCCAACAATACATTGTATGGGTCAAAATTATTGATTTTTCTTTTATGCCAAAAATCATTAGGATATTAAGTAAAGATCATGTTCCATGAAGATATTTTGTAAATGTCCTACCGTATGGTTTTGTGGTCCAGGGTCACATATGTTTCACATGCTGAGAATGCTAACCTAACATATAAGTATATAAACCATAAATGTTTAAGAATCACTTAGGCTACCTCTGTGCTTAGGCTACCTCATGATCAGGTAGATCTTAAATTGCTCACGCCAGAAAACTACTAATTGACCAAAATGCTTCGTTTGACTTTTCGGAGATCATCTACTCTTCCCTGTGGCATGTAGTTATGCATAATTAATTGTTATTATAATAGTAAGTACATGTAACGTGTAACAAGGACACCTTAAAATAAAGTGTTACCCAATTAATAAACAATTATTATATTATGAATTGATATCACAATTATAATAAAAGAGCAATGCAAAAGGGGGAAATTGTTATGTAATTAAACTGTTAACGATTAAATAAAAAAATGTAAAATTAAGCTAATGTTGAATGTTTAATTTATTGTTATTAACTCAATTGTTAATAATTAAATTGTAAACTGTACATTTAAGCCAGCGTTTAATGTTTACTGTTATTAATTCAATTCAATGTATTCAATTAAAATAAACTGTTAATTGTTAATAATTAAATGTAAAAATTTTAATATAAGCTAAATGTTTATTTTATTGTTAATTATTCAATTCAGTTCAGTCGATTTAAATAAATTCTCAATAATTAAAAATGTAAATTTAGATAATGTTGAATTTTATTTTATTGTTATTAACTATTTATTTTAATTAACTGAATGAATTTAATCAGCAATAAACATTCAATATTGGCTTAAATTTAAATTTTTAATTTAATTATTAGCTATTTATTTTAATTAATGATATAATAATGATTAATGATTTTATAAACAAAAAATAGTAATAATTATTGAGTATTAAAATAACAATACAATTATTTCACATACAATGCAAATATTTACATTTTCATTTTCTTTTATTTCTTTTCTACTTTTGTATTTTTTTAAAACAATATTTCAGCATTTTCAAACCTAAAATCTGCAAAATAAATGTACATTTTTAATTTAATTATTAGCAATTTATTTTAATTAATGGATTGAATTGAATTAATAACAATAAAATAAACATTCGCTTAACATTTAAAAAAAATTAATTAACCACTTAATTTAATTGATCTAATTGAGTTGAATTAATAATTAAATAAAAAGTTTTAAATTAAGCTAATGTTGAATGTTTATTTTATTCTTATTAATCCAATTTAATTCATTCAATTAATTAAAATACATTGTTAATAATTAAATAAAAAACTGTCAATGTACGCTAATGTTTAATGTTTATTTTATTGTTATATATTCAGTTCAACTCATTAAAATAAATGGTTAATTAAATGTAAATGTGAGTTATATCTAATGTTTATTTTATTATTATTCATTTAATTCAATAAATGAAAATATATTGTTAATTTGATTTTAAAAATCTTTTTTTTTTTTTTATGGTGTTATTATTTTTATTACCATAACTTATCATCTGTATTAATATTGAGTGTTGTGCCAATAAAAGTCACATATATGATGGCAGAAGCACTGAACTGGATTTTATGGAGCTGACTGCATTAATGCGTTTGGTTTCTCGAGTCTCGAGTACCTTGAGGAAGTTCTTGACGCGCTCGGCGTTGTAGCAGCTGCTCTCTCGACAGATGCGCTCCACCTCTTTGATCTGCCCCGTCTTACACGCCGCCTGAATGTACTTGAAGTGCACATCTGGGTCCTGACTGAAGTTCACGATATAGCCCAGAAAATAAAACAGACCTGAAAGAGACCCACAGAAATGAGGAATCGTTCAAAGCCGCCTCGAACCCCCCTGCAGCTCGTGAGCGTCTCACCCTCGAAACTCTTGAAGGACTCGAAAAGCTCCACCAGCGTCTGCGTTCCCAGCTGCTCGTGGTACTTGGTGGCGATCTGAACGCTCAGCTGCAGGTTCTGACGCAGGTTTGCGGCCAACATGGCCCTTAAACACTCGACGGAGTCGCCCACAGACAGAGAGCCGAAGAAATTCACCAACCACTGACAGACAAAGAGAAGAAAAAAAAACATAAATCTTCAATACTACTCTGACAGACTTCTTGAATTCAATTTAAATTTAAACATTTAAAAATTTGAATTTAAAAATGTAACAATTCGAATTTCAAATACTCTTGATATTCACACACAAAAGGTTACTCTGCAATAAAAACACGCTGCAAGCTTCAAAACTCAAAACTAACTCCCCAGTTTAAAATATAAATGATTCTGAAACACTAGGATCTGAAATCTGTCCCAATATCCGCTCGACACGCTCTTAACATGCCTCACCCTCGTATGTAATCAAAGAGGAGCTTCTGAAAAACTCACGTCTGTCCATCAATCTCAAGAGCGAAATGAAAGACCTTTTTCGGTGCAAAAAACGTTGCTAGCTTTATAAACTAACCTCGAGAAACATAATATACAAATGTGAAACTGCATTCCATGGGATAATATATACTGTAAGGTAGGGCTGGGCGATATAGCTAAAAAATATATCAACGATATATGTTTCATATCGTTCGGTATCGATAATTATTGACATTTTTTATAACCTTTTTTAAAACAGAGCAATAGAAAAAACATTTAAATTTAACCACTGTATTTTTAATCTGCCCACTTTATTAAGACAAACAACAAATATATATATATTT